GCCCCATTGACTTCCCAATTTTATATTCCCTCGAAATGGAATTGAATCAAATTGAATCAATTCTGCATTTCCTTAAAAACTGCACGATTACTCCAACATTCTTGTCAAATCAATCAAGTACATTTACTCCCCTATGTTGTAGTATTTATATAGAGCGAACTGGAATGAGTTGAAAGAAAATTGAATGGAAAATTTCGGTACTTTTCTCTAATCTTTACTCTGCTCACTGCTTTGGTCTAGATGCTCAATTATCACTTGAGATTTCCCTGAAGGAGGCCGTGTACTATCCAATTCAGTTGCAGTGTTGAAATTGAATTTAGGTTTTGAACGGCAATCTTCCACCAGTCTGCTCTTGGTGGGAACCTCCAAAACGTTTAACTCTCTTGCGTTAACTAAATGATTCATTATTATTTTTATTACTGCTACTATTATTATTATTAGTATTATTATGAGATAAGATATTTAAAAATATCCAATAAAATAAACCAAAAGATGCGTATGATGAACAGGAAGAAAAATGGAACGTAAGATATCTTGTTTCTCACGTAACAATAATTTCTATAAAAGAATTAAACAAAGAAAATTGTCATAACTTTCCCGAGCCTGTCCCATCCTTCATCTTCTTTTTCTGCATTCCCAGATAGCACTTGACAGTCTACTGAGCTAAACTGTGTAGCATTTAGCTCATTGCCACGGATGAGTTTTAATTTAGTAGAGGAACAAGAATCCTGCACTAGTCTACCATTGGCCAGCACCTCCAAGGCGTCAAACTCTTTTAGATCATCTGTTGAACTTTAAATCGATATTCAATTCATACCCGATAACTGAAGGAAGTGAGCGAGACATTTCCCCGAAGACATTTCAGATATGTCAAGTAGAATATTACATCACGCGATATTTATCCGAACACAAGAGAAACGTGTCGGCATTCTATCACCATTAAGTAGAAAATAGAAGACGAGGACGTCTTTGGTCTAATGGTCAGCGCGCTGGCCTCGTGAACAAAGCGTCCCAGTGTAGCGCAGGTGCGAGTCCCGGTGATGGAATTAGTATATTACATATATAGGCCAGAAAAGAAACAACTGTCTCAGATTACATGAAATTGTCGTAAATGTCTGATATTACCCCCCCCCCCCTCCCGCATCCCCAATAAATAAATATCATAAAAACTATAATTTTTGTGATATCAACCAAGTTTCGTGCTTAAAAACATCGACAAGGCATAAGGAAGCAACGAGCGAGAGGAAAACAATAAGGAAGAAAATAAATACACCGAAATAGTGTCGTGCGGGTCCCACAGTTGTCCCTGAGATTGCTGAGCCCCCCCTGCCTCCCTGCTATCGCTGTTGACGTGACGAGTGAGTGATTTTATTTTAAATTCATATTTGGATTTGTTACACAAGGGTAGCGGCGGAAAATAAATCACTCGTTGCGTTCAGTCAGTGATGGTAGGTGGCCTGGTGAAGTGAGGTGAATTTCGTAGTAATTGAGTGAGCCGTACGGGATTATTACCATGGACTAACATCTATCTGTGTGTCCATTGTCTATGAGTGTACCAACATGTGATGTCCGTGGGGTCGACACACCGTCACGTCCACGTTGTGACCCTGGATAACGCCGAGAATGGTGTACTAACAAACACATTTTCTACCCTAATTGTTTCCCCCAAGAACGGTTAACAGATCCTTAAATAAGGACTAAAAACCGACAAACTTCTACCGGGGAACATGGGAATTCGGAGGGGGGGGTGATAATAGACATTTACCGAAATTGTTAGCCGAGGTGAAGCCGAGGCTGACAAATATGTAATCTGAGGCATTTTTTTTACTAGCCGAGGTGTCGCTACGATTTTTCGGCTCGACGAGCCAGAAAATCGCAATTTCTCGGCCGTGCGGCTGCCAGGAAGTTTCGACTTTTTGGCCGGAGGACAGAAAATGATTTTTTGCATCGCCGGAAAATGAACCCAGTGCATGTGGAAGTTAGCTATAAGTTAGCTTAAAGACAAGTGCGGGTAGGGAATTAGGCTGGGGTACCACGTAGGTAGTGGGACGGGTGAGTAAAAGAACAGAATGGTCATACCATCTGACAGCCCCCAATAATAATAATAGAAAATAGAAGACCGTCCTAATTCATGAATGGAAAGTTCCTTCATTGTGAACTATCGGTAAATCTTACTCATTCATTTTATATTCTGTACCGTCCGCTTGACACGTATCGTGGCATTCAGAGAAAAACAACCAAATCCAAAGATAAAAGAATCCGAGATCCCTTGTAACTTCATTAAGCGGCTATTAGACGAAGAAGCGCGATCTTATCCGAATCTACTAATTTACAATTTATCACTGATAATCATGGGTAATAAACGTAAATCTTGACCTGTCCCCATTACTTCACGAATGAGAAAATTCAATAGAAAACCTAGAGAGTTGGCTGAGAAATTCTTGCAATAGAACTTCTCTGGGAATTCGCTTGGTTTTCGTTGATTCTTCTCGGTACGTGATATTGTGGCTTTTAGATTCAGTTGCAATTCATAAATGGATATTAACGTAAAGTCAGAGAATAAACTAATACATTTTCTATACATACCGCCTTGTTTTACGATTTGTACCACGTACCATCTTCCATGCCACATAGCCTTGAATTTTGTATTCCCATCATACTCCTTGATGTCAGTTTCAGTCCTGACAACTGCTGTTTCTCTTGAATACCAACCCGTGAATAAAACTAAACTAAACATGTTGCATTTGACAATGATAACGTGATGCGGCGATGACCGCGATTCCCAATTATGTGATGCACAATGATAACCGAGATCCCGTATTTGAGTGAATTTCGCTCTGATTAATTTGGGAATTGCCACTGCTTTATCACGGTTGCCTAGGTAACGCCGGCAAACAATGAACAAAGAATACTCACCTTAAAAACGACGCAGGGAAAAGATACCACACTTTAACAGCTGGTCCATGTCTGAGGCAGACTTGGCGGGTCAAGCCTTGACAGACGAGTCTGGTTAAAGGTTGGACCAGAACTCATGGTAGACCTCATGCAGAGGTGATACAAGTTTTGGATTGCATGAATATCTCTCAAAGAGAATCAATTCCTTAAATAACTTAACGTTTAGTTAACTGAATAAATGCTCTGACCGATCCCGGAAGGGATCATAGGTAAATATAAGTTACAAGCAAGTAATTTCGAATTAAATTTTGAATTTTTAATTAATTGTATGACTTGAGGACTTTTCCTCGCTTCGATTTTAATCTTTCGAAAGAAGAAAGCTGAACTGGAGATCGAATACGTTCATATTCAGCGACCTATTCAGTCTATCAGATCCAACTTGTATCAGCAGTCCCACGGCGACAACTGAGTCCAGTTCTCCTCAGGGACTGTTTGACTGTGTGCAGACATTGTCATTGATGATGGTAAGACAATGTTCATGCACCAAATCGTGGGAGTGCTTAGCTAAGCATTTTGCGGCTAAAGCTTCTCTGAGGTCCCTCTAACAGGGAGATTACGGTCAGGAGTGGAGCAGAACGGTCGCTCCTAGTAGAGATTACGGTCAGTCCTGAACCAGGACAGTTAGTCCTAGGAGCCACAGTAAGGCATCTTAGCCCGCGATAGCCGAACCCACTATTTTACTCTTTGTTGCGGACACTGGGTCACTAGGTAGGCCAAAATATAAGAAAAAAGGTGAACCTTTCAGGTAACTTGACCGTAACTAGTAGCGACAGGTAGTGTCCGGAGAAGGAAAGATCTTATAAATCTCACTCAATATGGGGGGGCCTATTGCGTGGGACTAAGCACTGAACTGCACAATGGTTACTAAGTGAGGAATTAGCACACAAAGAGAAAGATACCCTTGAGTTCCTTTTAAATAAATTTTAAAATTTATTACACTTCACTTGAAAATACAGAATAGTAGAAAGTCCAAGATAAAAACCGGGGAATAGGGGTAGAAAAAGTGTAGGTAAGAATAGTGTATATGTTGTTGGTGTGTTTTTTCTGAGTTACGGTTGAAGAAAAACTACGATGTAGGGATGAGTGGGTGATCTCTCGGTGGCTCTCCTCTACTTAGCGGATTCCGGAGAACTCCAAAACGTGCTAGGTGCTCTAGCGCTGATGGAGCTGAAGATCCTCGAACACGCTTCGTTGGTAGGAGTGGTGATGAGGTGACTCGGGTAACCTCAGTCAGTTACTGAGAAAATCACCAGGACGTTGCTGGCTTGCAAAAGCTGGCTTCCAACAGACGGATCTTGAAGGATGAGCCTTAATGATGAGCAAGTCCCCTCGTTGAATACCAAGAGTCGAAATTTTACTTTGGACTTGTTGGTTAAAGTTGCACACTCAACCTGGGGTTGGAAGTTGAGTTAAATGCTCGAACTGTGCCCCAGTGGTGACGTCAGAGGGTGGTCCTACAGAGTTTCCCCCTTGAAGACTGATCTTGGAGAGTCGACTGGTTGAAGAGCAGGACACCACTTGAAGATGATTAGGAGTCGAAGATTTAATTTAGACTGCTGGATCTGGCGAAAAACCGCCCTTTATATACTGTTCGGGCGTGATTCCCCTACGTCCGTTGATTTTTGATTCTTAGTCCCCCGACGTTTTTGTGAGATATGGAGGGAGGTCTTCATATGTTTGACAATGTATTCAAAAGGGATGTTTCTGGACGATGTACCCTCTCTCTAGTGTCACTCCCTGTTTCCCCAGGTGTGGGAGAGGGTTTTGAGAGAAAGACGGGACGATCGATCTTTGGCCTCTCTCTAATTAATGTTCTTCTAATGTCAAAACTGGCATGTTTATGTATTTTTCTGACCCTCACGGCCCATAAACTAGACGTCTTCTTTGACGATGGATAACTATTGTTCGTGCCTCTGAACCCCTGCTGCCGGGTGCTGAGGCTGCGCCTCTCACGGGAGGTGGTACTGGTGGTGTAGGTCCTGGTGGGTTCCCGCGGACCACCGTCCCAGTGGATTGCCCCGAATTGTGGTGTGACGGGGCTTTACCGCTGGCTGTGGTGTCGGTGTCCGACGCGTGCAGGACGAGCACCCCCTCTGCGTCCTCTGCCGGTGTTCCTGCTGCCGGGGTGCCTGGTGGCGTCTCGAGGGGTAGGTCCGGGATCTCGCCCACTCGAGTGGCGTCGGAGTGTCCCTTGGGCTTATCTCGGCCCTGGCCCGAGTGTTCCCGCCTCCTGGAGCGATGTCGTCGGCTCCTCCTGTGCCTCTCCTCGCTTGACGTCGAGCTCGACGAGGACGACACGGTGGACGAGGTCGAGTCCGATGACGAGGAGGAAGATGACGAACTGGATGACTTCCTCTTTCTGTGATGGCGATGTCTAGGGACCCGAGGCAGGGGAGGGACGATAACCCTCACGTTGGCCGGGTACTGGTGCGGCAACAGCGCCAGGGTCTGGAGGGCATTCACGAAGCCGGGGTTGCGAGACTCCATCTTCCACACGCCTCCCAAGAAAGGCGTGAGGCAAGCTCAGTACTCCTTCCCGTCCGGTCGGAGCGTCCTCTGGGTCACTCGTGGCCTCTGTGGTCGCCTCGTGGCGGCTGGAGTGAGTGGTGGGCCGGTTGGAGGTCGTGGCGGGGCTTGGCCCTGATGTGTTGGCTCCGGCTGTGCCGCGGCTGGAGTCGGGACGAAAACGACGTCGTCATCGTCAGCGCCAGTCGCTCGGCCTATTGTTCCCTCTTCCTGGGGGAGGGTCTCACCCGCGAGGGGTGGATGGCTTTGTGATGTTGCCCTGGCCTGGATCTTGGCGGCCATCTCCTTGGAGACCTGGGGCAGCGGTTCCAGGGATCTCCCAGGTGTCCCCGGCCTCTTAGCCACTAGCGTTGGTGGCGGTGGCGTGGCACAGCCAGCTGCGGCGGGCTGTGTTGTCGTGGGCGTGATCGGTGTTGGGGACGTCTCCGTCACCTCCATCAACTCCAGCTCAGGTGGTTGGCTGCTGTGGTGGCTGCCGACGTCGATCGTCGGGGGCGCCTGTTCGGCGGAACTGACTTCCCTCCTGCTCCTTCCCGCCTTCTCCTTTTTCTCCTTGGTATTCTGGAAAAGGAAAGGGTCTCGGAGGAAAAGTGCTAGCGATCTGGTGTTGCCTCAAACCTACGGGTTTGGATGTTTCGTCGCGGTATCTGGTGGATTTACCGGCGCGAGGTACGGTTTTAGGTCTTGTACTGTACCTCGCCCTGAGTTTTACCGCGGAAGTCGGTGAGCGCGTATCGCACCTTCGACAGTTTCCTGTCGATGATGAATGGACCCTCAAACGGAGGTACTAACGCGGCGGAGAATCGTTTCGCGGCGTTAGACAGGGGGTGAGATCGGCGCATTACAAGATCTCCCTCCCGAAATTCTACGTCCCGACGCCTAAGGTTATAATGGTGCGCCTGTTTATTAGATGATTCCGTCATGGCGTGGACGAGAGCCTTACGCAACGCGTCTAACCGTTTCATTCGGTCGATCCACTCCTCTGGGTTCCCAGGGAGGATTTCGGGGTCACCTTCAAGCTCGCGCTTGAGGGAAACAGCTGGGAGAGGTTCCCGGCCGAAGTTCGCGAACGCTGGCGTTGCTTGGAGCGCCTTGTGATACGCGGTATTGTACGCGAACTGAAACTCGTACAAGTGAACATCCCAAGTCCGATGGTCACTCTCAATAAATGCCCGCAGCATGGTTTTCAATACGCGGTTCACCCTTTCCACCGGGTTGGCTTGGGGGTGATACGGAGGGGTCGTCTCATGACGAGTACCGGTACTCGCCAAGAGCGATTTTATCTCGCGATTTACGATCTCGGTGCCGTTGTCTGAGAAGAAAACACGGGGTGTTCCCCATCGCGCGATGATCATCTTCTCGAGACTCTCGTGAATTGCTTTTCCCGTGGCTCGACGCAACGGAATTACTTCCACCCAACGGGTGAAGAGGTCTTGTATCACAAGTACGAACGAAAATCTGTTCTTGCTTGGAATTATCGGACCGACGATATCCGCGGCGACGGCGTCCCATGGATCCTGAATCACTCGGCGGCCCATTAGGCCACGAGGAGGATGCTGCTCGACCTTGCATCGTTGGCACGTGTCACAATGCCGTACGAACGCAACGACATCGCGAAACATATTCGGCCAGTAGTACGAAGTGTACAACCGACGATAAGTTTTGTCCACACCAAGATGACCGGCTTGGGGGAGTTCATGGCATTGGGACATTGCCTGATCGCGTAGTTCGCAGGGGAAAACGAGTTTCCACCCATCGATGTCTTCCATTTCCGTGGAGATGAGGTCCGAAGGTCGGTGGTTATACAGCCGCCCATCCACGATTTTCCGATCGGGAAATAAGTCAGGTGCACGTTCGATGTTCCTGAATTTCTTCCAGTACCAATGATCCTTGAGGGATGTAATGGTCTGGAGAGTTTCGCCAACTGCCTCAGGTCCTTGTAGTTCCTGGATCTCCACGATCGTCTCCGATTCAGGACTCTCACCGTCTGGGGCGCGAGACAACGCGTCTGGGACGTGATGCAACGCTCCCTTCCGATGGATAATTTCAAAGTTGTATTCTAACAACCCGAGTGCCCAGCGAGCAAATCTGCCTGTGGGATTCCGCAGATTGTGTAGCCATCTCAGACTACTGTGGTCGGTAATTACGGTGAAAGTATACCCTTCCAAGTAACACCTGAACTTGGCTATTGACCAGATCAGGGCGAGGCATTCGAGCTCGGTCACGGTGTACTTTTTCTCTGCGGATGTCAGCGCACGACTTGCGTACGTGATAACTCTTTCTTCACCCCCGATGACCTGGGTGAGAACCGCTCCTAATCCGACATTACTGGCGTCCGTCTGGAGCGTAAACGGAACTTCGAAATTCGGACACGCCAGCGTAGGGGCTGATGTTAGATGCCCTTTTAACGCCTCGAAGGCAGCGCGTTGCTCTTCGGACCACGACTATGCCTGCGATTTCTTCATGAGTCGTGTAAGTGGTTCAGCAATGGTGGCGAAACTGGGTATGAACCGACGATACCACGAAGCCATGCCGAGAAAGCGTCGTACCTCCGTCAAATTTCGTGGCGGAGGATACTCGATAACCGCTGCGGTTTTCTCAGGGTCAACTTGCAACCCAGAATTATTAACGAGAAAACCGAGGTATTTCACGAGAGAGCAACAGAAATCACTTTTCTCGCGATTTATCGCGAGATTCGCCTTTTTTATGCGACCCAGCACGGTTGCCAGTAACGAGAGTTTCTCCTCGAAGGTCTTCGACACGATAATGATATCATCGAGATACACGAAGACCTGAGGATATAGAGCCTGTCCGAGCAACCGGTCGAGAAGTCGCTGGAATGTCGCGGGAGCATTCGTCAACCCGTATGGCATGCGAAGAAAATGATACAGCCCCCGCCTGGGACGATAAACGCGGTGATCTCCCTGGAGTCAGGTTGCAGGGGAACCTGGAAGTAGGCTTGGCTTAAATCCAGAGTTGAGATATAAGTCGCTAGGCGTAATTCGTCTGGGATCCCCGACATGTTCGGTATCGGGTACGCGTCCTTTTTCGTCACGGCATTAATTTTCCGAAATTCAATGCAGAAACGATACTTCCCGTTCGGCTTTTTCACCATCACAACAGGACTAGACCACTCGCTTTGTGAGGAAACGATTATGCCGTTTTCGAGCATATCGTCAAGTTCCTTCCACATGATTTCCCATATGGCGGGCGTGGTGTGGTGAGGTCGTTGGCGAATCGGGACATGCCCGTTCACATCGATACGATGCGAGGTCAGCGACGTAGTGCCGAGTTTCTCCTCTGGTTGAGGGAGGTTTTGTTCAAGGAAGAGGGCCAGGCGTTCCCGCTGGCTTTCCTCGAGGGTGCACAGCCCGCACAGTCGGATATTGTTCGCGGTCTCGAGTGGCGTAAACGCGTACTTCCTGTCAGGTTTTTCCCGATAATACCAGCCCATATCGAAGAAATCGATGACAACATGGGCGGACACAAGGAAATCCATCCCAAGGATGAAGTCCTCGGAGAGATTCCTCAACAAGTAGGGTTGGAGGTGAGTTAGTCGGTCCCGGAGTTCAACGTGGCAGTCAAAGGCGAATTGAGCCACCTCGATATTACCTCCAGCAGTCACGACTGACTTGGCGGGGACCGTTCCGGGGAATATACCGGCTTCTCCTAATAGCCTCCCCGCAGCCGCGCCTGCGAAGGATCGACTCGCACCGGAATCGATTAATGCTTTAATTTTCACACCGTGGATGACGATCTCCACGTGGAAGGCTCGCGGAATATCACCCTCCCGTAGCTTAAAAATGGTACGGGGACTAAACATTGCCTCACCTAAGCCTGGGCTTGATGGATAACTTGCCTCACCGGGGCGTAGGCCCGATGGAGAAACTGCCTCACTTTCAGACGGGCTTCTCTCCTCGTCTGAAAGTGGAAAATTCTTGTTTTCACCCTCTAAATGGGGCGATTCACTGACCTGCGGGTTCAGGAGAGCCTCAGGGGACATATCCGACCTCATTCGGCCAAAGGGCCTCGATGATTCGCGAGGCCGAAACGCGAGGCTCGGACACTCCGAATTCTCCGGTTTCGGTGGAGGCCGCCGCTCCTCATTACTCTTGAGGATTTTCTTTACTCGAAGAGCTGAAGTTTCGAGCTCATCGAGCGACATTTCCTCCCTAAAGGGGATCACCAGCTGATAAGCGGAAAGAAGTTTACCATAAATTTCCGCCACCTGTTCCCCGATGGACCAGGGGGGACTTAATCTCGAGAAATACCCTCGCATGCACGCGATGTAGCTGCCCACGAGCTCGCCCTCGGCTTGAGTGCGACGACTAATCTCATCCCGAAGAGCTCCCTGGTAGTTGGGATGCGCGAAGTGCCGTCG